TTCTAGGGTGCGCTAGCGTTTCAAAATTCTGAGAACTTCCGAAATTTAAGATTTCAAAATTTTGAAATTTCCAAAATTTCGTAAATTACGAATCGATTCGTTAATGGCAGATGCGATTGCGCGATATGCTAAAAAAACCTCCAAAAACAAACAACTATATTATATTAGTAATATAATATATTGGTATTAGGGCTGGGCGGTTTCGTTTCGTAATTTTGTAATTCGTTAAAAATTCGTTTTTTTATAACGAAGCAATAACGAACCATTCAGAAACAACTAAAAAACGAAACGAATTTTTAAATTCGTTTCGTAATTGTTTTGAATTCGTTTTGAATTCATTTCGTTATCGTTTTGAAATCGTTTCGTTATTATTTCCGCATGTCTGGGGCAAGTTTTATAGTTGTTGTTTGTTTAATCAGTGAAAAAAAATTATAAATATCACACCAACAGTCAACAACAGAGGGAGAGGGAAGCTTCAGAAGTTCCCCCTGTTCCATATGGAGGTTTTTTAGCGTATTTCGCAGTCGCGTCCGCCATTAACGAATTGATTCGTAATTGTTTCGTAATTGTTTTGTATTGTTTTGTAATTTACGAAATTTCGTAAATATCGAACTTTTTAAAAGAAAAATTTCAGAATTCTTTTAAAAATCGAAACGCAAAACCCCCCAAAAAACGAATCGATTTTAGAAACAAATGTTTCCGTGGTTGCCCAGCCCTAATTGGTATAATATAATATATTGGTACAATGTCTGGTGCATTGTATTGTATATTATATTATTATATATTATATTATATTATTATAATATAATAATATATATTATTATAATAATATAATATATATAATATATAATAATTTATTATATTATATTATAATATATTTTATATATATTATATTATATTATACAATTATAATATAATATAATATAGTAATATAATATATAATAATATAATATAATATACAATACAATGCACCAGACATACGAAAATAATTACGAAATAATTATGAAATAATTACGAAAATTGGAAAAAAATGTTTCGATTCTTAATTACTCCTCACACTATTCCTGCATGGCTCGATATTGGATCATAAGCTAATTTAAATACGAATCAATTACGAAATTAACGAACTGGATCGCCCAAGCCTACTTAATACAGTACCTCAGGTGGTGGTGACCCCCAACCATAAAATTATTTTCATTGCTACTTCATAACTGTAATTTTGCTCCAGTTATGAATCATAATGTAAACATCTGATATGTTGGATGTCTTTTCATTCACTGGACCAAATCTGGCACAAATGCGTGATACGCCCAAATTTGAATACTAGTGAAGTTGGGAGGGGCGTTGATTTTGTCATTTGTGAGTTGTAGTTGCTGGGGTTTATACTTCACCTACAATCAAAGAGCATTCCGAACCCTACCAAAGATAGAATTGGGCCAAACTTGGCACACAGAGCTCCCAAGACCAACAGAAAATACTGGAAGGGTTTCGTGGGCATTGACCTTGAATTTTGGAGTTGTAGTTCACATCCAGAGAGCACTGTGGAGCACCGTGGAGAGAGCACCGTGGACTCAAACAATTATGGATGGATCTGGACCAAACTTGGCACAGATACTCAAGATACCCAAATGTGAACACTGGTGGAGTTTGGGGAAAATAGACCTTGACATTTGGGAGTTGTAGTTGCTGTGATTTATAGTTCACCTGCATTCTGAACCCTACCAAAGATAGAATTGGGCCAAACTTCCCACACAGAACTCCCATGACCAACAGTGTTTCCTGATGGTCTTTGGTGACCCCTCTGACACCCCCTCATGACCCCCCAGAGGTACTGAGCCCCAGGTTGAGAAATGCTGCTGTAAGGTGCATTGTGTTTGCTTCCTTCACTTAAAGAATAATTGTCTTTGACTATGTAAACAAGAGTTAATAATTGTTTCTGGTCATCAATGTCGACAGTTCAGGGGAGCAGTAGTGTCATGTTGTGTACCTACTCACCAAAGGTGCAGTGTAAGAGCCAGGTTTTAAGGTCCTTTTTGAATGTTTCTAGAGAAGGGGCTTTCCTGATCTCTCCAGGTAATGAGTTCCAGAGTCAGAGGGCCACAGAGGAGAAGGCTCTCTCCCTTGTGCCCACAAGATGAGCTTGTGAGACTGGCAGGGGCAAAAGGAGGGCCTCCCCCGAAGAATGAAGGGCCCGGGTTGGAGGGAGATACGGTCACGAAGGTAGGCGGGTCCCAAACCGTTTAGAACTTTATAGGTGATTAACCTGCACCTTGAATTGGGCCTGGAAAATAAACGGCAGCCAGTGGAGCTCCTTAAACAGGGGGATCGACTATTCCCTGTAACTAGCCCAAGTTATTAATCTGGGTGCCGAACGTTGGACAAGTTGTAGTTTCCGGGCCGTCTTCAAGGGTAGCCCCACATAGAGTGCATTGCAGTAGTCCAGTCTAGAGGTAACTAAGGCATGGACCACCATGGTCAAGTCAGACTTCACAAGGTAAGGTCGCAGTTGGCGCACGAGTTTTAATTGTGCAAAGGCCCTCCCAGCCACCGCCGACACCTGCGCATCAAGCGTCAGCGGTGAGTCAAGGAGGACCCCCAGACTGCGGACCTGTGACTTCAGGGGGAGTGCAACCCCGTCCAGCACAGGTTGCCACCCAATACCCCGGTCAGACGGATGACTGACCTGGAAGAACTCTGTCTTATCAGGATTGAGCCTCAGCTTGTTCGGCCTCACCCAGATCGTCACAGCGGCCAAGCAGTGCTCCAGTATCTGAGGGTCTTCCTTGTGGCGGAAATGAGTAGTGAAGTTGGGTGTCATCTGTGTAGAGATGGCACCGTACTCCAAAACTCCGGATGACCTCTCCTAGCAGTTTCATGTAGATGTTAAATAGCATGGGAGACAGAATAGAGCCTTGCGGGACCTATACAGCGTTCCCTCACTACTTTGTGGTTTGCTTTTAGCGGACTCGCTGAAAACTATAGATTCACAGTCCCTATATTTATTCGCAAAGCCATAGCAAAAGCATTCCTTTTCCCTTGGGAAACCTCTCCCTGACCCCTCTTCTCTCTCAATCTTGCAGAGTGCCTCCTCCCTAATTCCAGGTGGCGATCCTGATAAATCTGACTTCTCCGGTCAAAACCTGACTCCCTCTGTTTGCCATTTAGTGCATTCCTTTTGCTAACTGGCCTTGACTGTTCAACATTTCCCTCGGCCTCCTTTTCTGCCTGCACAAAAAAAGAAAAAGAAAGAAAAAAAACACAGATTTTGCAAATTTGGTAGTTGGTTAAATGTCCTTTGACCAGTATCTGGCCACTTGGAGTGCCTCTGGTGTTGCCGCAAGAAGGTCCTCCATTGTACATGTGGCAGGGCTCAGGTTGCATTGCAGCAGGTGGTCAGTGGTTTGCTCTTCTCCGCACTCGCATGTCGTGGATTCCACTTTGTAGCCCCATTTCTGAAGGTTGGCTCTGCATCTCGTGGTGCCAGAGCGCAGTCTGTTCAGCGCCTTCCAAGTCGCCCAGTCTTCTGTGTGCCCAGGGGGGAGTCTCTCATCTGGTATCACCCATGATTGAGGTGCTGGGTTTGGGCCTGCCACTTTTGGACTCTCGCTTGCTGGGGTGTTCCAGCGAGTGTCTCTGTAGATCTAAGAAAACTATGTCTTGATTTAAGTCGTTGACGTGCTGGCTGATACCCAAACAGGGGATGAGCTGGAGATGTCTCTGCCTTGGTCCTTTCACTATTGGCTGCTACTTCCCGGCGGATGTCAGGTGGTGCAATACCGGCTAAGCAGTGTAATTTCTCAGTGGTGTGGGGCGCAGACACCCTGTGATAATGCGGCATGTCTCATTAAGAGCCACATCTACTGTTTTAGTGTGGTGAGATGTGTTCCACACTGGGCATGCATACTCAGCAGCAAGGGCAGATGTCTTCACTGTGTCTGGTTGTGATCCCCAGGTTGTGCCAGTCAGCTTTCGTATGATATTGTTTCTAGCACCCACTTTTTGCTTGATGTTCAGGCAGTGCTTCTTGTAGGTCAGAGCACGGTCCAGAGTGACTCCCAGGTATTTGGGTGTGCTGCAATGCTCCAGTGGGATTCCTTCCCAGGTGATCCTCAGAGCTCAGGATGCTTGTCTGTTCTTAAGGTGAAAGGCACATGTCTGTGTTTTAGATGGATTAGGGATCAGTTGGTTTTCCCTGTAATAGGCAGTAAGAGCACCTAGAGCTTCGGAGAGCTTCTGTTCAACCATCTCAAAGCTCCCTGCTTGAGCGGTGATGGCACGATCATCAGCATAGATGAAACTCTCTGTCCCTTCTGGCAGTGGCTGGTCATTTGTGTAGATGTTGAACATGGATGGAGCAAGCACGCTCCCCTGAGGCAGGCCGTTCTTCTGTTTCCGCCATCTGCTTCTCTGGCCCTGGAACTCAACAAAAAAGCTCCTGTTTGGTAGCTGATTTCCTTGAGTGGTGATGGCACGATCATCAGCATAGATGAACTCTCTGTCCCTTCTGGCAGTGGCTGGTCATTTGTGTAGATGTTGAACATGGATGGAGCAAGCACGCTCCCCTGAGGCAGGCCGTTCTTCTGTTTCCGCCATCTGCTTCTCTGGCCCTGGAACTCAACAAAGAAGCTCCTGTTTGGTAGCAGGTTTCCTATGAGGCGGGTGAGGTGGTCGTCCTTTGTGATATTATACATTTTTCTCAGGAGGAGGCGGTGGTTCACAGTATCATAGGCTGCTGACAGGTCTATGAAGACAGCTCCTGTGATCTGCTCCCTTTCGAAGCCTTGACCATCATCTCCATTCTCGAAACCTCTGCAGACTCAGACATACAATCCTGTGCAGGACCTTGATCATTTTCCTCAGAAGCCTGAGGCAAAGAAACAATTACAGGTCGAACTCCTACAACAGTGTAATAAAGGTCTTTGGACCATAATAAAATGATGTTGTTGCTATTGCTACACTCAATTGTCCCAGCCCTATATCTCGCCTTCTGTTTTGCTCAGCCGAGGAGGTGAAGGAAGAGGAGAAAGAGCAGTCCGAGGCTCAGCAAAACGGCGAGAAGGAGACCGAGGAAGACGGCAAGAAGGACGACAAGAACAGCACCCGCTTCATGTTCAACATCGCGGACGGTGGCTTCACAGGTATGCGCAACGTTATGTATTTCCAAAGAGGCTTTTCGCTGCTTTGCTCGTGCTCGCAACACGATCGGTTGCAATAATTAGAAAGTAGGGCTGGGCGGTTTTGTTCGTTAATTTCGTAATTTGTTATTAATTCGTTATTTTTTTTATAACGAAGCAATATTGAACCATTCAGGAGCAACTAAAAAACGAAACGAATTTTTCCAATTTGTTTCGTAATTGATTCGAAATTGTTTCGTAATTGTTTCGAAATCGTTTCGTTATTATTTCGTTATTATTTTCGTATGTCTGGTGCAAGTTTTATAGTTGTTGTTTGTTTTATCACACCAACAGTCAACAACAGAGGGAGAGGGAAGCTTCAGAAGTTCCCCCTGTCCCATTTGGAGGGTTTTTTAGTGTATTGCGCAATCGCGTCCGCCATCAACGAATCGATTCGTTATTGTTTCGAAATTGTTAATTTCCGAAATTTTGTAAATATCGAACTTTTTAAAAGAAAAATTTCGGAATTCTTTTAAATAACGAAACGCAAAAAACCCCTAAAAACGAATCGAGTTTAGAAACAAATTTTTCCGTGATTGGACAGCCCTATTAGAAAGCAACTGATGTGTCTACGTTTTGTGTTTACTAGGCTTGGGTAACCACGGAAAAATTTGGTTCTAAACTCGTTTTGTTTTTAGGGGGCCCTTGCGTTTCGTTTTTTTTAATAATTCCGAAATTTTCCTTTTAAAAATTTTGAAATTTACAAAATTTCGTAAAATTACGAATCGATTCGTTAATGGCGGACGAGATTGCGCAATATGCTAAAAAAACCTCCAAATGGGACAGGGGGAACTTCTGAAGCTTTCCTCTCCCTCTGTTGTTGATTGTTGGTGTGATAAAACACACAACAACTATAAAACTTGCACCAGACATGCCAAAATAATTACGAAATAATTACAAAATAATTACGAAACAATTACGAAACATTTACGAAACAATTACGAAATAAATTGAAAAAATTGTTTCGAATCTAATTTACTCCTCACACTATTCCTGCATGGCTCAATATTGGATCGTAAGCTAATTCAAATACGAATTAATAACGAATTACGAAATTAACGAACGAAACCGCCCAAGCCTAGTGTTTACTCTTCCCTCTTTCTCTCCCTCTGCCCCTCTTGTAAAATCCCATCCATTTCGGTTGGAATAAATGAATACTTCCTTGTACTGTACGGCTTTGTGGTTGGCCTTTGGGGTTGCTGAGGTCATGCAACGAGTGTCTCTGCTTTCTTCGTCAGAGCTGCACACGCTTTGGCAGAATGAGGAGAGGGCCGCGGTTTCTTCGGGGAAGGTCTACGACACCTGGCACCGGCGCCACGACTACTGGCTCCTGGCGGGCATCGTCACGTATCCTTTGCTGGGCACAGAGGCCGCTGAGCACCTCGAGGTGCTGAATTGATGGGGTTTGGTGTCATAAATATTTTTCAAACATCGAAAAGCATTAAAAGATTCTTTTATTTCATTCATATTGAGACAGAGTATACCGTGGAAGACGTCCTTGGAGCTGTGAGGGCAACCACTTCGCCTCTAGACCCTTGCCCATCTTGGCTAATTAAATCGGCCAGGGAGGGGTTGGTTGATTGGTTTGTGTTTATCATTAATGCATCGTTGGAGCAGGGGATTTTTCCATCTAATTTGAAGCAGGCTGTGGTCCGCCCACTCCTCAAAAAGGCCTCCCTTGACTCCTCGGTGCTGAACAATTACAGACCGATCTCCAACCTCCCTTTCTTGGGTAAGGTGCTGGAGCGGGTGGTCGCCTCCCAGCTCCAGGGCTTTTTGGATGACATTAACTACCTAGATCAGTCACAGTCTGGTTTCAGGCCTGGTCACGGCACCGAGACAGCCTTGGTCGCCTTGGTGGATGACCTCCGTAGAGAGCTGGACAGGGGGAGTGTGACTCTGTTGGTTCTCTTGGACATCTCAGCGGCTTTCGATACCATCGATCATGGTATCCTTCTGGGACGACTCTCTGGGATGGGTCTTGGGGGCATGGTTTTGTCGTGGCTCCGATCCTTCCTGGAGGGTCAATCCCAGATGGTGAAGCTGGGAGACGCCTGCTCGGACCGCTGGCCTTTGACCTGTGGGGTCCCGCAAGGCTCTATTCTGTCTCCCATGCTTTTTAACATCTACATGAAACCGCTGGGAGAGGTCATCCGGAGTTTTGGAGTTAGGTGCCACCTCTATGCAGATGACACACAACTCTATTACTCATTTCCACCCAATTCCAAGGAGGCCTCTCGGGTGCTGGACGAGTGCCTGGCCGCTGTGTCTATCTGGATGAGGAGGAACAAGCTGAAGATCAATCCCGACAAGACAGAGGTCCTCCTGGTCGATCGTAAGCCTTACTGGGGTGTAGGGTGGTAACCTGTGCTGGACGGGGTTACACTCCCCCTGAAGCCACAGGTCCGCAGTTTGGGAGTCCTCCTGGACTCATTGCTTACACTTGAGGCTCAGGCGTCGGCGGTGTCTGGGAGGGCTTTCGCACAATTGAGACTCGTGCACCAACTCTGACCGTACCTCGCAAAGGCTGATCTGGCCGGAGTGGTCCATGCCTTCATCACCTCTAGGTTGGATTACTGTAATGCGCTCTACGTGGGGCTGCCCTTGAAAACGGCTCGGAAATTCCAACTTGTCCAACGAGCAGCGGCCAGGATGTTAACTGGTGCTCCCTACAGAGAGAGGTCAACCCTCCTGTTCAAGGAGCTCCACTGGCTGCCGTTTATCTTCCGAGCCCAATTCAAGATGCAGGTGCTTACCTACAAAGCCCTGAACGGTTTGGGACCAGCATACCTGCGTGACCGCATCTCCGTCTACGAACCCACACATTCACTACGCTCATCTGGAGAGGCCCTGCTCGTGATCCCGCCGGCGTCGCAAGCACGTTTGGTGGGGACACGAGACAGGGCGTTTTCCGTGGTGGCCCCCCGTCTCTGGAACGCTCTCCCCAAGGATCTTAGACAGGCCCCTACATTGGCAGTCTTCAGAAAGAACTTAAAGACCTGGCTGTTCCAATGTGCCTTTCCCGAATAGGAAATCTCCAACACCAGCCCAGTTTTTACCTTGTTTGATGTATTGTTATTTCTTGTGGTTCTTTGTTGTTTAATACTGCTTTAATTGTGTTTAATTTGCTTTAAGTGTATTGTTATGTTGTGTATTGCGGCCTTGGCCTTTGTAAGCCGCATCGAGTCCTTCGGGAGATGCTAGCGGGGTACAAATAACGTTTAATAATAATAATAATAATAATAATAATAATACCACAGAGCAATACAGAGAAAGAAAGTAGATGCAAACTTGTTTGGATATGCAAACAAAGGGAATATTACATGTATACATGTTCACTCATTCATCATGCATACATTACCATCTCTTCTTCCTTCTCCTGGGAAAGAGACTCAATGGAGGCCAGATTGCGTTCTCAGCAAATCTGCCATTCTGCGAATACACAGCCTTCCTTCATCCCTTGGAGAAGATGGTGGGTGGACCAGACTCCTCTGGTCTGCCACAATTTTGGAATGTTATTCCAAAAGTTGTAAACGAATGACAGGTTTTTTTCCAGCGAAAACAACCTGACTCCCTCAGTTCCCGGACAGATGTTGGCTTTTCTTCTTTAAGTGATAATTGGTTCTCCTTCTTATGGAGACTTGTTTGTCTTCCTTAACTGATGTTGCGTTTTATTCTTAACTAGCTGTACCCGCCACACGTTGCTGTGGCCAACCTTCCCTCCCTCTTTCTCTCCTTTCTTTCTCTCCTTCCTTCCCTCCCTCTTTCCTTCCTTCCCTCTTTTTCTTTCCCTTCTCCTTTCTTCCTTCTCTACCTGTTTCTTTTCTCCCTTCCTTTGCTCTTTGGTTCCATCCTTCCTTGTCTCTTCCCTCCCTTCCTTCCCTCCCTCTTTCTTTCTTTCATTCCTTCTCTCCTTCTTTCCCTCTTTCACTTATTTCATTCTCTCCCTCCTTCCTTCTCTGCCCTTTCTTTCCTTCCCTCCTTCGTTCCTTCTCTACCCTTCTTTTTTTCCCTTCCTTCTCTCCTTCCTTCTCTTTCTCCTTCCTTCTCTCCTTCTTTTTCTCTTCCTTCCTTCCTTCCTCCTTCCTTCTTCCTTCCTTCTTTCCTTCCTTCTTCTTTCCCTCTCTCCCTCCTTCCTTCTCTATCTTTCCTTCTTTCTCTCCTTCCCTCCTTCTTTCCCTTCTCTCTCCCTCTCTCTCCTTCCTTCCTTCTCTACCCTCTTTCTTTCCTTTCTCTCCTTCCCTCCTCTTTCCTTCTCTCCCTCCTTCCTTCTCTACCCTTCTTTCTTTCCTTCTCCTCCTCCTTTCCTTCTCTCCTCTTTTTTCCTTCCTTCTCTCTTCTCCCTTCCTTCTCTACCTTTTTCCTTCTTCTCTCCTTCCCTCCTTCCTCCTTCTCTACCCTTATTTTTTCCTTCCTTCTCTTCTTCCTTCCTCTTCCCTTCTCTCTCCTCCTTCTCCCTTTCTTTCTTCCTTTTCTCCCTTCCCTTTTCCTTCTTCCTCCTTCCTTCCTTCTCTACCCTTCTTTCTTTCCTCCTTCTCCCTTCTCCCCTCCTTCTCTTCCTTCCTTCCTTCCTTCCTTTCGTGTCTTTCTGTTTGTGTGTGTGTGTGTGTGTGTGTGTATATATATATATATATATATATATATATATATATATGGTTTCGCGTATGTGTTGTAATGTATTTTTTGGGGGGGGGTTGCTTCTTAAGTCCCTTCTGCTGTGTTTTTCAGTGTTTTTATGAATGGTGGTCACTTGTTGGCCTGAGAGGTGTCTTGTGTCCAAATTTGGTGTCAATTCATCCAGTGGTTTTTGTGTTCTGTTAATCCCACAAACGAACATTACATTTTTATTGATATAGATGTAAGGGGCCACTTAAGATGATGTTTTCCACCACAGAGTTAATCATTCGTCTCTGGACATTTGAGGGGATGTCATAGGGAGGAGGGAGCAAGCTTGTTTTCTGCTTCCCTGGAGACTAGGAAGCGGAATAATTGCTTCAAACTACAAGAAAGGAGATTCCATCTGAACATTAGGAAGAGCTTCCTGATTGTGAGAGCCATTCAGCAGGGGAACTCTCTGCCCCAGAGTGTGGTGGAGGCTTCTTCTTTGGAGGCTTTGAAACATAGGCTAGATGGCCATCTGTCAGGGGTGATTTGAATGTGATTTTCCTGCTTCTTGGCAGAATGGGTTGGACTGGATGGCCCATGAGGTCTCTTCCAACTCTATGATTCTATGATTCATGTCAACAGTTCAGCTACTTTTAATTACAGTTAATCTATTTTGTTACGGGCTGGGCCTGTAAAGAATTGCCTTTAAAATAGGACGTGCAACTTGAGCCCAGCAGGAAGCCAGGGTCCCCCGAAGAGAAGTTCTCAAGGATTTTCCACCACAAATGGTCTTTAGATGGCTTGTGAAGTATAACAAAGTCCTTTATTAATGAACATTCAAACAGAAACTTCTCTTGTCTTCAATAAAGTTAAACAAATGCTTGCAGGCTTTTATGCAACTGGTGGCTTCCGAATCTTGTCCACGAGGGACAGGCAATTATCTTCAATAACTGTTTCTTTAAAGGAAAATCCCCTTTTTAACTTCTCCCAGGCTGACTGTAATCTAAGCCTTACAGATGTACCAGGTCGAACTGCGTCTCGAGCACCGAGTGGACCTACCAGTAAGGCCAGTAGATTCTCCAGCTGGAGTTCTTTACTCTTCCAAACTGTTTACCCTCCGAAACTCCTCAAAGCGTTAGGGCTGTTTCCCTGGAAATCTTTGGAAATCTTTGGATGCTCTTAAGACTGTTCTCCCCCGGAAAGTCTTAAGGGTTGAAGCTTTTGTACAGGAGAAGCTTGTACACGTCCTCTAAATTATCTTTCCTTACTGAGACTAACTAAAAATGGCTCCCTTCCCTTCCCAATTGCCCTGAACAAGGGGCGGAACCAAAACTTAACGATGTTGGGCAGGTGACTTGCCCTACGACTGCAACCAAAGGAAGCTACCTTTCTGCAGAATCCCTGAAAGCTTGGACTGCAAGCAAACATTTAATACAAAGCAAATAAAGTTGTAGCTCCTAGTACAGCCGTACCAGCACATAACCGGTTCACCTTTTGTAGTTTTCTAGACCTCAAGCCTTAGGATAACATCTCTAGGCTATATAGTAGGCTTGGCAGATCCAGTTCGTTAATTTCGTAATTCGTTATTAATTCGTATTTAAATTAGCTTACGATCCAATATCGAACCATGCAGGCATAGTGTGAAGAGTAATTAAGAATCGAAACAATTTTTCCAGTTTTCGTAATTATTTCGTAATTATTTTCGTATGTCTGGTGCAAGTTTTACAATCTCGCATTTACCCCACTTCCAGTCCCTTTGCTCTGCTGCTTCCCTCCTCTTCCCTCGTGCTTCTTCTTGCCTCACTCTAATATACAATACTATAATATAATATATAATATAATAATATAATAATATATTATATTATATTATATTATTATAATACTGTTATATTATAGTATTGTATATATTATATTATAATATAATATATTTTAATATTATATATATAATATAATATATTATAATATAAAGTAATATAATATAATAATATAATATAATATACAATAACATAATATAATAATATTATAATATATAATATAATATAATATAATATAATAATATTATAATATAATATACAACAATATAATATAATAATATAATAATAATATAATATAATATAATATAGTTGTTGTTTGTTTTATCACACCAACAGTCAACAACAGAGGGAGAGGGAAGCTTCAGAAGTTCCCCCTGTCCCATTTGGAGGGTTTTTTAGTATATTGCGCAATCGCGTCCGCCATTAACGAATCAATTCGTGATTTACGAAATTTCGAAATTTTGAAATCTTAAATTTCGGAAGTCCTCAGAATTTAGAAACGCTAGCGCACCCTAGAAACGAGTTTAGAACCAATTTTTTTCTTGATCGCCCAAGCCTACTATATAGATCTCCAACCATACATCTTTCATACAATTTCATTCAATCCAAACATCATATATTCATGACCTTAATTGAATTGAACTGCCATGTCTCAATGCGATGGGAACTGATAAGTCTTTGGCCTTCTCTGCCAAAGAGTGCAAACTTCCAACTCCCAGGATTCTGTAACAATTTAGTAAATGAGCCCAGCTTCTGCGTTTTCCCTTAATGCCTAGCGCTCAGCCATGGCTACGCTCGTTGGCAGGACATCCAGAACGACCCCCATTTCGTCATCCTCAACGAGCCCTTCAAGTCCGAAATCCACAAAGGGAACTATCTGGAGATGAAGAACAAGTTCTTGGCTCGGCGTTTCAAGGTGAGTTAATGAGTTAGGTTCAGGGAGGGGCATTCATCTCCTCCAAAGGCTGCTTATGTGGCCTCTTCCATAGACCACTTAATCCAGCCTTCAACCTTCCCCGAGTAGGGGTGTGCAATTCAGAACAAAACCATGCCATTTTCGGTCCTGTTTTCAGCTAACCCCTCATTCTGTTTACCTGAAAATTGCTGAAACTGGAGAGGGTGTAGGGTGTGCCATTTTCATTTGGCTACAATGAGGAGACTTTAGAGGCTTTTGTGACGGCGCGAGTGGCACCACCTATGTGTAGAACTATTAGTTGCAAGATTTAAACTGTTGTATCATGCTTAATCCTGCCTTTTTACCCTGCTTATGTATAGTTGGATTGATTGGTTATTTATAGCTGTCAATCAATATTGTTTGGCTCCACCTCTTCCTGGAGGAAGGGGAGTGCTTTCCTTTTTCATTCTGCCATCAGAGTTTCTATCAGATGGATATGAGTAAGAAACTTGACTCTAAAAGCCCCTGGTTAAATGACCTCTCAGCACCAATTCTGAGGTTCATACCCTTGAGACTTAACTTATGCTTCATGTTCAGACCAACCTGAACAACGTTGGGCAGTCTCAAGCGCCTTCAAACCGGTTCTTTTGGCACCAGAGGAAGACCCTGAGTCTTCGAAACATAGGCCATTTGGACTGGGGTTGTGTTTATTCCGATATCCACAGCCATTGAGGAAAGAGGAAATTTGGAAAAGCTTCTCAGCTTCAAACTCCTTGGAGTTTAAGAATAGTTATGAAAACATAACACGGCTTCACTATCTACTAGGCTTGGGCGGTTTCGTTCATTAATTTCATAATTCGTTATTAATTCGTATTTAAATTAGCTTACGATCCAATATTGAGCCATGCGGGTATTGTGTGAGGAGTAAGAAAGATTCGAAACAATTTTTTTCAATTTATTTCGTAATTATTTCGAATTTTTTCCGTGGTTACCCAAGCCTACTCTCCAAGGAGGTAGGACTGTCCGCATATTCGTTTGTACTAAAACTGATTTGGAAAATTTGGTGATGTGTTTGCTAAATCATCAAAAACAACATAAGAAGGAGAGCTGGAAGGCTGGCTGAAACAAATCAAGAGAGATGGATTTTTCTGGCTTTCAGCGAGAAATGGTCAACTTTAAAAAAATAATTACGAAATAATATGGAAAAAGATTCAGAAAGACCTCAAAAACTGGAATCATCTTAAACTATCTTTATTCGGCCGAATATCTTTAACCAAAATGAATGTCCTTCCGAAGTTAATATTCCTATTTCAAAATATACCTGTAATAAGAAACCAGACTCTGTTTAAAAAATGGAAGAAAGACTTATTAAAATTTGTCTGGAAGGGGAAGAGACCAAGAATCTATATATATAAATCTGTTAGGTTGGTTCAACTGGACAGCAAAACTCCACAACCCCCCAACGAAACTTAACCAAAATTCCCATGCCCATAACACAACCCACAAGGTACAAACATATCTACCAAAATGAAAAACAACACAACAACACACTCACAAAACGGCAAAACAACTGAGCATGCGCATTGGCGCCCAGCCGCAAGTTTCCTGGCGCGCGCACACGGCCTTCCGGCCAACGTTCCCTCTGCAGAAGCCATGCCCACTCCAAGCCCCGCCGCGCCGCTTCCCACACACACACACACCCTGCCGCACGCACACACACAACCCCACGCTCCATCACCCCCGCCACCGCACACACACACGCAACCCCACGCTCCATCACTCCCCCCGCCCCCCCCCACACACGCAACCCCGCTTCATCACTCCCCCCGCCGCTGCACACACACACAGCAACCCCACTCCCCCCCCGCCGCACACACACACGCAACCCCATCATCCCCCCGCCGCCACACACACGCAACCCCACGCTCCATGACTCCCCCCGCCGCCGCACACACACACGCAACCCCACTCCCCCCGCCGCCGCACACACACACGCAACCCCAGGCTCCATCACTCCCCCCGCCGCCGCACACACCCACGCTCCATCACTCCCCCCGCCGCCGCACACACACGCAACCCCATGCTCCATCACTCCCCCCGCCGCCGCACACACACACGCAACCCCACGCTCCATCACTCCCTCGCCGCCGCACACACACACGCAACCCCACGCTCCATCACTCCCCCCGCCGCCGCACACACACACGCAACCCCACTCCCCCCACTGCCGCTGCACACACACACGCAACCCCAGGCTCCATCATTCCCCCCGTCGCTGCACACACATAATAGTCCAGATATCTACCTCAACTTTGATAAGTTTTACTATAGGCCACAGCAACGCGTGTCAGGGCACAGCTAGTAAATTATATAAACTTAATTGATAAAAAAACAAGAGGTGGTCTAGGCTTCCCGGATTTGAAAAGTTATCATGAAGCATGTGACTTTTGAACAACTGAAGAATAGTTATAAATAATAAAATAATAATTATGAAATAATTACAAAATAATTACGAAATAAATTGAAAAAAATTGTTTCGAATCTAATTTACTCCTCACACTATTCCTGCATGGCTCAATATTAGATCGTAAGCTAATTTAAATACGAATTAATAATGAATTATGAAATTAACGAACGAAACCGCCCAAGCTTATAGGAGAGCATTAATTGCAATGTCAAGTTGAGTCTGCGTAAATCTTGGTTTGTGCTTGACTGCAGTTGCTGGAGCAGGCCTTGGTGATCGAGGAGCAGCTCCGCCGGGCGGCCTACCTCAACATGAGCCAGGACCCTGGCCACCCGGCCATGGCCTTGAACGCCCGCCTGGCTGAAGTGGAGTGCCTTGCCGAGAGCCACCAGCACCTCTCCAAGGAGTCGCTAGCGGGAAACAAGCCCGCCAATGCCGTCCTCCACAAAGGTGGGTCTCTCTCCACGGAAAACGGCTTCCCCTCCTCTTTCCATCCCTCCATCCTTCTGTCGTTCCACCGTGAATTTCCCATGTGCCTCGCCATTACTTCATCTCCTTTATCCATTACACTCTGCAACACAATTTTTGTTCCTGGGTTATGAATGTCATTTCCTAATTGCTTGTATCATACAACATGGGAAAAGTGGATCAAACTGCAAAAAACTTTGTTTTTTCGGAAGGGACATCCTGCAGCACATTTTGCTATTGTTTTTCAATGGATATCCCAACGCCGAGACTCAACCAATTCAACCTAGTTTGTGGCACTCACAAAAAGGAAGTTTCTGGAGTAAAACTACTACTTTCAAAGGCCGAACTGCACAATGAAACAGGAAATAACACTTTCAAACCAGGAACAGATGTCCCCCCCCCCAATGTTTTGTTATATAGTGTTATTCCGCCACAACATCCAAGAAATTTTAAAAATATTTTGTGTATATTATTGATATGCTTATATGTTTTATATTTTAATGCTATGTTGTTTATTTTATTGTAATTTGTATCTTATTTTATTGTAATTTGTTGTTTGGGCTGGGCCTCATGCAGGGGCGGCTCAACCATTACGCAAAGTAAGCATTTGCGGTATAGTTGATTTTGCCCAAGGCTGCTCTTGAGGAACTCTTGGGGGGAAATAGACCTTGATATAGGCGAGTTGTAGTTACTGGGATGTATAGTTCGTAGGGCTGGGCGGTTTCATTTGTTAATTTCGTAATTCGTTATTAATTCGTTATTTTTTTTAATAACGAAGCGATATTGAACCATTCAGGAGCAACTAAAAATCGAAACGAATTTTTCAATTCATTTCGTAATTGTTTCGTAATTGTTTCGAAATCATTTTGAAATCATTTTGTTATTATTTCTGCATGTCTGGTGCAAGTTTTATAGTTGTTGTTTGTTTTATCAGTGAAAAAAATATATAATTATCACACCAACAGTCAACAACAGAGGGAGAAGGAAGCTTCAGAAGTTCCCCCTGTCCCATTTGGAGGTTTTTTTAGCGTATCGCGCGGTCGCGCCCGCCATTAACGAATCGATTCGTAATTGTTTCGTTATTGTTTCGTAATTTCCGAAATCTCGTAAATTTCGAACTTTTTTAAAGAAAAATTTCGGAATTCTTTTAAAAATCGAAACGCAAAAACCCCCTAAAAACAAATCGAGTTTAGAAACAAATTTTTCCGTGGTTGCCCAGCCCTAATAGTTCACCTACAATCAAAGAGCATTCTGAACTCCATCAATGATGGAATTGAAGCAAATATGGCACACAGAACTCCCACAACGAACAGAAAATATATATCAGTGATTGGTTGGGGGGGGGGGGGATACGCTAAAATACATTGAAAATTACCTAGGGCCACCTCTGGCCTTATGTAAGCCACCCCGAGTACCCGTTGGGGGAGATGGTGGCGGGGTATAACCCAGGAACAAAAATCGTGTTACATATACAATCCCAGGAAGCCCGACTGGTATTTGGAAGCCAAAGGCGATCTTGTCAGGTCCTAACGCCTTGCCTTTCAGTCCTGAACCAGCTGGAGGAGCTCTTGAGCGACATGAAGGCCGACGTGACCCGACTCCCTTCCATGCTGTCCCGCATCCCGCCAGTCGCTGCTCGCTTGCAGATGTCCGAGAGGAGCATCCTCAGCCGCTTGACCAACCGGGGAAGTGACCCCAACAGCCAGCAGGTAACCATACCATAACCCTAACCCCTAACACTACCCTCACCAACCCTAACTCTAATCGGAACCCCTAACCCTCACTCTGTTGAGGTCTGGTCTGAGGAGGAGATGGAGGATCCTTGAATGGGGCCTTGTACTCCTGAATCCCGCTTTGAGTTCAGGACCTTGAAAGAGCTCTCAGAGGTAGCGAGTCTTTTCAGCACTCTGCAGATATTGTACCCCACTTTTCCCATTCACACAGGCTTCCTTCGGTTCCTCCCAGCTCTACAGCAACAACTTTGGGCCAAATTTCCGGGGTCCGGGACCGGGCGGGCTTATAAACTACAGCCAGATGCCTTTGGGACCTTATGTGACCGGTGAGTACTTTTCTGTTTCTCCTCTCGATTTACTTTTATGACAGATGTAGACTTGCAATAGGTAGATAGATACTAGCTTTAGATAGATACTAGCTTTACCCCCCACGCGTTGCTGTGGCCAGCCTTCTCTCCCTCTTTCTCTGCTTCTTTCACTCCTTCCTTCATTCCGTTCTCTTCTTTCCTTTCTTCCTTCTCTACCTGTTTACTTCCTTCCTTAGCTGTTTGCTTTCATCCTTCCTTCTCCTTATTTCTTTCCTTCCCTGCGTCTTTCTCTCCTTCTTTCTCTTTTTCCTTTGCTGCGTCTTTCCTCCCTTCCCTTTTTTCTTTCCTTCTCTCCTCCTTCCTTCTGTACCTCTTTCCTTCCTCCTCCCTTTTTCTTTTCCTTCCTCTTTGTCTCCTTTCTTCCCTCTATTTTTCGTTCCTTCCTTCCGCTCTGTAGTTCCTTACTTCCCTTTCTTTCTTTCTTTCCCTCCCTTTCTCTTCATTTGCTTTCTTTCCTCCCTTTCCTTTTCTTCTGTCCTTTCTTCCTTCCTTTCCTTCGTTCCTACACCTTCCCTTCCGCTCCTTTCTTCTTCCTTCCTTCCTTTCTCCCTTCTTTCCCATGCTCCTACTCTCTCTTTCTTCTTTCTTTCCTACCTTTCTTTCCCTCATATACTTTCCCAACTTCTCCTTCCTTCCTTTTTTCATACACCTTCCCTTCCCCTTCCTTCCTGCCTTCCTTCTCTCCTTCCTTCCTTCCTTCCTTCCTTCCTTCCTTCACCTTCCCTTCCCACTTTTATTCTTTCTTTCCTTCTTTTCTTCCTTCCTTCCTTCCTTCCTTCCTTCCTTCCTTCCTATTTACACCCCTTCCCCTCATTTCTGTCCTTCCTTCCCTCACCCGCTTCCTTCCCTCCTTCCCGTTCCTCATCGTCCCCGATGGTGGTGTCCTTCCTTCCCTGGAGCCAGACGCCAGTGTGCGGGGGCGGCCTGGGCCGGGCGTGGCGGAGGCCGAAGGGCTGTCCTCGGGAGAGGCGGGTCGCGGCCTCTCCCGGGCGGGCCACAAAGGAAGGTGGACAGCCCCCCATGCCGCACGTGCACCAGGCCGGCCCCCAGCGCACAGAGGCAGGTGAGCTCCCACTCCCAGGCCAGGGCTTCAGCGTTGGAGCCTAGGCCAAGCTCGGTTTGGCATAGGGGAAGGGGCAGGGTGGCGATGGGAGGGGGCGTGGCTTGCGCGGAGGGGGCATGGGGCAGCCATGTGCGCGCGCAGGTGACTCGCACCGGCACGCCTCTGCATATGCTCCATTTGGTTGTGTAATTGTGAGTTTGTTGTTATGTTTTTTTGAGTTGTGATGAGTGTTCTGAATACCTTGTGGTTTGAGGTATGCGTATGCCAAGTTTGGTGATTTTTCATCCAGGGGTTTTCGCATTTTGCGGTCCCTAACGACGCCCTTTTGGATTTTATATATATAGATTAACCTGTTTGCAAGGCTTTCTCCCTCTTTCTTTCCTTTTTCTAAAGTGGAGACTGCAATGCCAAATAAATAAATAGAATTGCAATCGGTAAGTTTGTTTTCTTTCCTATTTGTAGATATTTAGGCGTTTGCAAGAGTTCCCCCATTGCTGCAAGAGGTAAGGTCCTGCTTCTTGTTCCGATTATTTCATTTATTTAGACTGTTTTGACCCCACCGCTTGCAAATTATATTGGGACACGCAAATTAATATATTTTCAAGACTGCTTTTATCTCAACCAAGAGATGTAGGTGGGTTATAAATAACAACAACAACAGTTACCTCTATTTCTTGCCTAAAAATAATTCGATCTCTAACTACGGTTCCTACCGTCCCAAAAAGCGGTGATCAGGCCCCTTCAGCCGAGGTTTTTCAGAGCTATTTTGCAGACAAGATCTCGCTACTTCGCCGGGACCTCCCCGCCACAATTGATACAGTGAGAGAACTTGAGACCCCGTGGCCACTTGCTGGGCCCATCCTCGACCGGTTCATCCCGCTGGATGCAGGGGCTGTCGATAGGCTCATAGCTGCAGCTAGACCGACCACTTGCTCCCTCGATCCGTGTCCCTCTTGGTTGGTGAAATCCTGCTTGGAGGGATTACGTGACCCTCTGTTGAAGATCATAAACAGCTCCCTTGAGCAAGGAGTTTTTCCAGAGGGTTTAAAAGAGGCGGTGGTCTCTCCCCTGCTGAAGAAACCAGACTTAGATTGTTCGGTTCCCTCCAGTTACCGCCCAGTTTCGAACCTCTCGTTCCTGGGCAAGGTGATGGAGAGGGCAGCAGCGGAGCAGTTGCAGTAATTCCTAGACGACACAGCCGGACTAGATCCCTTCCAGTCCAGTTTCCGTGCGGGGCATGGGACAGAGACTGCTGGTCTCCATCACGGATCACCGTCGATGCCAGCTTGACCAGGGCGGGTCAGTGCTGCTTGTGTTATTGGATCTCACAGCAGCATTTGACACAGTCGACCACCATCTTTTGACCCACCGCCTTGCTGCTGTTGGAGTGAGTCAGGGGGAGAGCTTTGAATTGGCTCCCCTCCTTTCTTCACAACCGTGGACAGCGAGTGGAGAGGGGAGGCCTGGTCTCTGAGAGGTCCCCTCTCTCTATCTTGTGGGGTTCCTCAGGGGGCCATTCTCTCCCCTCTGTTGTTTAACATCTATATGTGACCACTTGCTCAGCTAGTTCAAGGTTTTGGGCTTGAGTGTTACCAGTATGCTGATGACACTCAGCTTGTGCTGAAGATGGAAGGCCGACTGGACTCTGTACCCGATTTTCATCAGTGCCTCGAGGCCATGACTGGATGGCTGCGTGCCAGCAGGTTGAGGGTGAATCCAGCAAAGACGGGGATTCTATGGCTGGGTCAACCGGGCAGTGGGGATATCCAGCTGCCTACCCTGGATGGCGAGGCGCTACGCCCGTCATCATTGGTAAAGAGTCTGGGAGTCCTTTTGGACCCTCTGCTGACGATGGAGGCCCAGTTCTCCGCTGTTAGCAGAACCGCCTTTTTTCATCTGCGGCAGGCTAGACGGCTAGCCCCCTCCCTGTCCAGGGATGACCTAGCTACGGTGATCCAGGCTATGGTCATCTCAAGACTAGACTACTGTAACGCCCTCTACGTTGGGCTTCCTCTGTCGGTGATCCGGAAGCTCAAGTTGGTACAAAATGCAGCTGCTCGGCTTCTTGCGAGAATTCTGATGAGATGCCACATAACACCAATCTTACTGCAGCTGCATTGGTTACCAATTGAGCACCGGATCACTTTCAAAGTGATGGTACTCACCTTTAAGGCCTTGCATGGTCTGGGGCCAATGTACCTGAGGGACCGCCTCACACCCTACCAACCCCAGAGATCCCTCCGTTCTGAGGACCAAGATCTATTGGAAATTCCCAGTGTCAAGACCTTGCGTCTAACAGCAACCAGACGCAGAGCCTTCACAGCAGTGGTACCATCACTCTGGAATACTCTGCCACCTGAAGTCTGTGCCTTGTCGGGCTATATGGTCATATTCTAGAGGCATTCTCTCCTGACGTTTCGCCTGCATCTATGGCAAACATCCTCAGAGGTAGGGAGGTCTGTTGGAATTAGGAAAATGGGTTTATATATCTGTGGAATCATGGGGTGGGGCAAAGAGCTCTTTGGACAGGTTGTTGAGAAGTGATTAGAGGTGTGTGAGGAATGATGTCATGGGAGGGTTTGAGGCCTTTTAATACTGGTAGCCAGATTTTGTCATTTTCATGGTTTCCTCCTTTCTGTTGAAATTGTCCACATGCAGAGCAACTGATGAACCAGCCTGGACACAGCATATTATTTGAGAACACAGAAATGCTGGACCACTCCAACAACCACCATGTCAGACATACACAGAGAAGCCATTGAAATCCACAAGCATGTGGACAATTTCAACAGAAAGGAAGAAACCATGAAAATGAACAAAATCTGGCTACCAGTATTAAAAAACTCTAAAATTACAACAGCAAAACAGCAGAGAGGAAACAACCAGGCACATCTTAACACCTCTCAACAGAACATTTTCCCAGGCTCAGCCAGGCCTTCAAATGCTAATGAAGGTGGTCAGCTGAAACATTCACACCTAGCTTCAGCAGAGAAGAGCTCTTTGCCCCACCACAGTCATTCCACAGATATATAAACCCATTTTCCTATTTCCAACAGACCTCACTACCTCTGAGGATGCTTGCCATAGATGCAGGCGAAACGTCAGGAGAAATGCCTCTAGAACATGGCCATATAGCCCGAAAAAACCCACAAGAACTGAGTGATTCCAGCCATGAAAGCCTTCGACAATATATGAAAGAAATGTTCTTTAAAATAACGAAAAATGGAAAATGTAATGTATAAGTAAAGTGACAAAACAACTAGAAGAAATACTAATGGTTTAGGTCCAGAGGAGAAGATAAGAAATTAAAAAACATATTGGAGCTTGGTGCTGTTTGGTTGATGGATAGGACTTCCAGAGAAAGAGGCAAAAAAAGCTAATTTAGGCCCAGAAGTTCATCCCAAAAACCTACATCTCCTTTATTTCATTCCTCTTTCCAGTAAATCATCTCCGAACCCACCGGATAAAAAGAGTTCCCCCGAAGATGGGTCGGCGAGGAACGGCGTATCATCATCCGCAAAGGTGATGACAGCCGGCTTTGGCAACCTGTGCTCAGCTCACTTCAAAAGCGCTTTTTCACCATCCTCTGAAGAAGAGGACGGGACTCTCATTTCATGAACTCTGTTGAGACGATGGATTTTTTTCCTTCTGCCTCCTTCCCCCCACTTACTCTCTTCTTTGCACTTTCTTCAGAAGATGACTGGATCGAGGGAGATTATTGCGTTTTTTGGTCAGGTTATTTTTTGTTGAGACTGGACACTTGGAGCAAATGCATTTGGGCCAAATACCAATTTTTAAAAACCCCAAATATTTGGGAATAGGTGATAGTTCTGATTATGGGCCCAGGATGTCGCCGTTTTGGGAAGTGTAACAGGGACCCACACTGACTCCCCAAAAAGCTACCTTAATTTGTAAGAGAATGACCCCACGATTCCAGGAACGTGTTGACAGCACCTGAAAGTCCCATTGATGCCTTGATGGGGTTTAAGCATAGAAAGTAGGGCTGTGCAGAGCTTTAGAGGTCCGTTTCGTAATTTGTAGATTTGTATGATTCAGAGAAGGCTGAGAGGAGACATGACAGCCATGTATAAACATGTGAGAGTAAGGGAGCAAGCTTGTTTTCTGCTGCCCTGGAGACTAGGACACAATGGAGCAATGGCTTCAAACTACAAGAAAGGAGATTCCACCTGAACCTGAGGAAGAACTTCTTGACTGTGAGAGCTGTTCAGCAGTGGAACTCTCTGCCCCAGAGTGGACTGGATAGCCCATAGGGGTCTCTTCCAACTCTATGATTCTATATGGTTAACATACTCCAATGGTTGACTACAAACCTGTGTTGAAAGACCTAGAGGTTCTAGGTATCTCTAAGTATCTCTAGATCCTCGAGGACAACGTTATGGTGGAGGCTCCTTCTTTGGAGGCTTTTAAACAGAGGCTGGATGGCCATCTTTCGGGGGTGCTTTGAATGCGATTTTCCTGCTTCTTGATAGAATGGGTAGGATGGCCACCAGGTCTCTTCCAACTCTAGGATTCTATGATTAATACAAATTAGGGCTGGGCAGTTTCGTTTGTTAATTTCGTAATTCGTTATTGATTCGTATTTAAATTAGCTTACGATCCGATATTGAGCCATGCAGGAGCAACTAAAAATCAAAACGAATTTTTCAATTTATTTCGTAACTGTTTCGTAATTGGCTCGAAATCGTTTCGAAATTGTTTAATTATTTCCGTATGTCTGGTGCAAGTTTTATAGTTGTTTGTTTTATCAGTGATAAAAAAATAAATTATCACACCAACAGTCAACAAGAGAGGGAGAGGGAAGCTTCAGAAGTTCCCCCTGTCCCATTTGGAGGTTTTTTTAGCGTATTGCGCAATCGCGTCCGCCATTAACAAATCAATTCGAAATTTACGAAATTTCGTAAATAACGAAAAAATTTTAAAGAAAAATTCGGAATTCTTTTAAAAAACGAAACGCAATGGATCCCCTAAAAACGAAACGAGTTTAGAAACAAATTTTTCCGTTGTTACCCAGCCCTAATACAAATCTCTGAATTACTAATCGGTATGGATCCCCCTCTTACAAAGCATTACGAAACGAAACGTAAGCCTCTGAAGCATTTCAGAGAGATTAATAAAGATTTGTTGTTTCGGAGCATTTCAAGATGTAGTTTTTTAAAAATAATTTTTAAACTTAAAAAAAACTTAAAAATTCCTAAAAATTAGTCGATGAACGGATCTTTCGGAAACTTTGCAGGATTGATGCCCTGTTTATATTGTTCCATTGTGCAGAAATTCAAGGGGATACCACATGTAGTTTTTTTAAAAAATGTAAAAATCAGTGGACGAATGAAACATTCTGAAACTTGGCAGACTTAAGGTCATAAATGTGATCTACTAGCACGCCATATTTCATCCAGAGAGCTGTAAAAATGACAGAGAAACAAACCTTGACATTTTTCCCATTGCAGCTACTAGAACAAATCTTAAACAACTACAAAGCTTTGGAGATTCAGATTACGAAATGAAACGGGACCCCTCCGAATCTTAAAATTTACATTTTATGTTATTGGGGCATTGAATTTTGCCATTTGTAAACCGCTCTGTGTCGCCTCTGGGCTGAGAAAGGCGGTATATAAATATGGTAAATAAATAAATAAAACGATTCCTAAAAATCGGTAGAGGAATGAATCTGAAATTTGGCAGGATTGAGGTCTTGCTTATGTTGTCTCGTTGTGCAGAAATTCAAGGAAATATCTCTTAGTAGCTTTTTTAAAAAAAATGTTAACATTTTATAAAACTCAATAGATAACTGAAATGTCCGGAAACTTGGCAGGCTAAAAATTGCAAATGTTGCCTACTAGGCTTGGTTGATCAAGAAAAAAATGGTTCTAAACTCGTTTTGTATATAGCGTTCCGATTTTAAAATTATTTCTCAAATTTTCTTGAAAAAAAGATCGGAAATAGCAAAAATCTGAATAGCTTTGTTTACTTACTTACTTATTTATTTACTTTGCTTCTATACTGCTGTTCTCAGCCCGAAGGCGACTCACAAGACACAGAACACAGCAGAATTCAAACACCAATATATAAAATATAAAACAGTTAATAACCTAATCTAATACACAATTAATACACAATTACTATGATAACCATTCACTAGCATCTCGTCACTAAAAACATGATCCAGATTCATCATCCATTGTTCCATTCCTATGTCATTACCAGTCTTGCACTAATTATTCGAACGCCTGCACGAATAACCAGGTCTTTACTTTTTTGCGGAAGACCATTAGCGATGGTGCTAATCTAATCTCTGTGGGAAGGGCGTTCCACAGCCGGGGAGCTACCACCGAGAAGGCCCTGTCTCTCGTCCCCACCAGCCATGCTTGTGAAGCTGGCGGGATCGAGAGCAGGGCCTCCCCGGAAGATCTCAAAGTCCTGGTGGGTTCATAGGCCGAGATGCGGTCGGAAAGGTAGCTTGGGCCGGAACTTTGTTAATTGAAGGTGCCCCTCCCCCCTGTTAGTTTAAAATCTCACAGTTTCCCTGGCGACAAGTGGCAATGCAAACTGCGAGATTTTAAAACTAATCTCGCAGTTTGCCTTCCCTGGGTGACTGAATGGCGATGGATGACAGGGGAATGAGGTGGGCGTGGCTATACCCAGCTCTTCTTGACGCCCACCTCGCCCTTCCGCATTGCCGCTTCTCGTCAGGGAAACTGCGAGATTGTAAAACTTGCCCCAGACATCTGAAAATAATTACGAAAAATGGGGAAATTGTTTCAATTCGTAATTACTCCTCACACTATTCCTGCACGGCTCGATATTGGATCAAAGGTAATTTTAATACGAATTCATTACGAGTTTAGAAACTTACAAACACGATCAACCAAGCCTATTGCCTACACGTGTGATAGCTGTAAACAATGATGGGGAATCGAGCCTCGCAATTTCCCACTTTGACAGTAACTGGAACAAATCTTAAACCATGAAGAAGCTTCAGAGATTTGGATTACGAAACGGGTCCCCACCAAATCTTTACAAAACGAAGCGGGGGGCTATCTGAATCTCCGAAACAAATTACTAATCGGATTTCAGCCGCTTTGCACATCTCTAATAGAAAGCAGTGGGACTTTCAAGGCTCAACTTAATCGTATTCTCTTTTCCTGGGAAATCAGGGCACTTATCCTTTTACCGGGGCTGCATCTCCACAGGAGAGTTAATGTGGTACGACATCACTTTGCAGAAAACGCTTTCTGTGCAGAAAATGCTGCCTACTGCATAGAAATTGTTTTTACGCAGAAAACTGCATGTATTTTGCACGGAATAAAAAAATACAGCGCTGAATATTCCTTATCTGATAGGGCTGGGTAACCACGGAAAAATTTGTTTCTAAACTCGATTCATTTCCAGGGGGCGCTAGCGTTTCCAAATTCTAAATACTTCCGAAATTTTGAGATTTCAAAATTTTGTTAATTTCGAATCGATTCGTTAATGGCGGACACGATTGCGCAATATGCTAAAAAAAAACTCCAAACGGGACAGGGGGAACTTCTGAAGCTTCCCTCTCCCTCTGTTGTTGACTGTTGGTGTGATAAAACAAACAACAACTATAAAACTTGCACCAGACATGCGAAAATAATTACGAAAAAATTACGAAAAAATTACGAAATAATTTTGAAATAATTTTGAAATAATAACGAAATAAATTGAAAAAATTGTTTCGAATCTAATTTACTCCTCACACTATTCCTGCATGGCTCAATATCGGATCGTAAGCTAATTTAAATACGAATTAATAACAAATTACGAAATTAACGAACGAAACCGCCCAGCCTTATTACCTGAGAAAAATCTACAAAAACAAGTCGATAGGTGACTTCAAGGTGTATATACACACAGTTTTAGCCGTGTTGTAACCCGCCTCGAGCCATGAGGAGAGGCAGGCAAGAAATAAAATTATATTATTGTGGCAAAAAAAATAACAATACGGGGGTCTAGAGAGGTAAGTCGTGGGTGATAAGTGTTTCGAGCTAGTTATCGTTCGTTTTTTAAATTGCCGCAGCGCCGACGAGTGGGACAAGCAAAGCAATGTTTATTTTCTCCTCCTTTTGGGTGTGTTGATTATAATTTCCCCCTCCGGCTGTGTTTCTCTCTCCCTCATCGCATTTTGTATTCCCCCTCCCGGTTTTTAAATTTTTATTTGACATTTTAATAAATCATTTTGAAAACGAACCCGTGGGGAGAGTCCTATGATTATTTTCTCGCTTTTGGGTTTGGATTATGTAAGCCAAATGGTAGGCAATGCGGTCTAATAATCTGAATTTTCAATTTAAGGTTTTGGATTTTCTGTTATTTAAAAGTGCCCTTTTCTCCAAATCTTTGTGACCTCCTGGACCAGCCCAGGCCAGTACTCCGTCTCAGCCGTCCCCACCCCCAGCTCCTTCAAGGTCAAGCCAGTCCCTTCAAGGATACCATCCAACCACCTTGCCCTTGGTCGGCCCCTCTTCCTTTTTCCTCCCATTTTCGACAGCATCCTTCTCTTCTCCAGGCTTTCCCATCTACTCATTATGTGGCCAAAGGACTTCATCCTTGCCTCTAATATCCTTCCCTCCAATGAGCAGCCGGGCTTCATCTTCTGGGGTATGGACTGGTTAGATCTTCTCATGGTCCAAGGCACTCTCAGAATTTTCCTCCAGTACCGCAGTTCAAAAGCGTCTCTTTTCCTTCGCTCAGCCTACCTTATGGTCCAGCTTTCATATCCATAGGTTACGACGGGAAATGCCATTGATTTAACTGTGCGGATCTTCGTTGTCAGTGTGATCAGGGGCGGCTCATCCATTACGCGAAGTAAGTGGTCGCAGAACACTTTTTTTGCCAGGGGCGCAGAGGTGCCTCTGTAAATGCCTCTTTACTGCCACTTGAGGAGCGCCCCCTCAGCTCACAACAG